ATATATCACCATTACTCCATAATAAAGGTTGAATTAGAATTTTTAGCTTGTGGATTCTCTAGAGGTCACAGGTTTTTTTTTCCGATTTTAAAAACCGTTTAAGATATATCACCATTACTCCATAATGAAGGTTGAATTAGAATTTCGTGAAAATCGAAATTAAACTGCCCGACAAAATGTCTGCTCTTTGTACGCAAATTGTGTATAAGTATGTAATACAAAGGTTATGGACTCTCTAGAGATACAATTTTTATCTGATTTTGATGAAACTTAGAACATATCTTTATGTTCCAAAAATCTCAGTCCTTTATTTACACCCACATGCAAATGTGGTCGTATATTGCCGTCGCCCCGTCCGTCAGTCAGTCTGTCGGTCCGTCCGTCCATCGTCCACAATTTCTTGTGAACACTCTACAGACTACATTTATCAACCGATTGTTTTGAAATTGATATATGTTGTTTGCATTAGTGAGATGAAGAAGCCTATTGAATTTCAGCAATTTCCGTTAATTTCTTTTGGAGTTATGGCCCTTGTTTCACTTTTTTGCACATTGTGAACACTCGTAACGACAAAAGTTATCAACCGATCTGTATGAAATTTATATGCATCATATAAATAGTAAAACAAAGAAGCCTATTGAATTTCAACAATTTCCGTTAATTACATCCAGAGTTATGGCCCTTGTTTCACTTTGTTGAAACTTGTGAACGCTCTAATGACAAAAGTTATCAACCGATCTGTATGAAATTGATATGCATCATTTAAATTAGTGAAATGAAGAAGCCTATTGAATTTCAGCATTTTCCGTTAATTTCTTCTGGAGTTATGGCCCTTGTTTCACTTTTTTGCACCTTGTGAATGCTCGTAACGACAAAAGTTATCAACCGATCTGTATGACATTTATATGCATCATTCAAATTAGTAAAACAAAGAAGCCTATTGAATTTCAGCAATTTCCGTTAATTACATCTAGAGTTATGGCCCTTGTTTCACTTTGTTGAATCTTGTGAACACTCTAATGACAACAGTTATCATCCAATCTGTTAGAAATTGATATGCATCATTTAAATTAGTGAAATGAAGAAGCCTATTGAATTTCAGCAATTTCCGTTAATTTCTTCTAGAGTTATGGCCCTTGTTTCACTTTTTTGCACCTTGTGAACACTCTAACGACAAAAGTTATCAACCGATCTGTATGAAATTTATATGAATCATTTAAATTAGTAAAACAAAGAAGCCTATTGAATTTCAGCAATTTCCGTTAATTACATCTAGAGTTATGGCCCTTGTTTCACTTTGTTGAATCTTGTGAACGCTCTGACAACAGTTATCATCCGATCTGTTTGAAATTGATATGCAACATTTAAAATAGTTAAATGAAGTAGCCTATTGAATTTCAGCAATTTCCGTTAATTAAGTCGTGAGTTATGGCCCTTGTTTCACTTTGTTATACCTTGTAAATGCTCTAACGACAAAAGTTATTATCCGATCTGTATGAAATTTATATGTATCATTTAAATTAGTAAAACGAACAAGCCTATTGAGTTTCAGTTATCACCTAAATTAGTGAAATGAAGACGAACAAGCCTATTGAATGTCAGCAATTTCCGTCAATTACCTCTAGAGTTATGGCCCTTGATTTACTTTGTTGAACTTTGTGAACTTTCGAACAACAAAAGTTATCATCCGATCTGTATGAAATTTATATGCATTATTTGAATTAGTAAAACGAAAAAAGCCTGTCGAATTTGAACAATTTCTGTAGATTGCTTCCAGAGTTACGGCCCTTGTTTTAGTTTTTAGAACCTTGTGAACCTTTAAACAATGAAAATTATAATGTCATCTGTGTGAAATTGTCTATTAAATTCCCCTAATTACCTACAAAAGAATAAATATGTGACAACCCTTGTCGACTGCTCGGACGATTTAGCTGCTGTGGGCGTATGTTTTGTTGCCTGGCAACCTATCTTTGATATTTGCGCATTTCAGACCATAACTTTCTGGATTATGGTCACAATTTTTTTTCCAATTTTAAAAACCGTTTAGATATATCACCATTCCGCAATGGTACGCAAATCGTGTATGTAATACAAAGGTTATGGACCTTTTAGAGGTCACAATTTTTTTCTGATTTTGATGAAACTTAAAACATATCTTTACATTCCAAAAATCTCAGTCCCTTTTGATATTTTCGCATGTCAGACCATAACTTTCTGGATTCTGGCCCCTGATTGTACAAAAAAATTGTTTTTGTTTTTAGCTTGTTCTCTATCCATCTCTTGCCAAATGTGGACGTATCCTGCCTGGCAGACACTGGTTATTTTATTTTCTTAATTAAATGTTAAATAATCAGAGTACATATTAGCATAGATTAAGCTGTAAGAAATTTGATATTTTAGCGAAAAATGCAAATGGCGCATCAGGACTTTAAATGAACTTTAAAGTGGCTCACTATATATAATAGGTATGCATATGTTTGACCTCTACTAAAACAGCTCTTACAGGTCACACAGAAAGTTGTCCATGTTATTTAATTTGTGTTTAATTATAATTAATTATGCCACTAACTTCTTAACGTATGGGGGGGGGGGGGGTTCTAGTGAAATCATAAGATCTTTCATTGAGTTGTCAAGTGGCATGGTTTATATTCCCCACTTATTCGTGACAAGGAGTAGAGTCGGGTGTTCAACCACATGGGTTTTCTCTGGGTACTCTAGTTTCCTCCCACTGCTAAAGACCTCTACGCACAAGCAAATGAAAAATTAAAACTTTTGTTAGTCTCGAAATGACCTAGATTGTGTTGAGTGGACGTTAAAGTCCACTTCTCATTCTCTCTAACAGTACGTAATTCAGTCATGCAGTATTAATGAGAAATAGTGTCATGACATGTAGACAGTAATGTATACTGATTTCACCTGGTTTATCGCTTACAAGTTGTAAAGAAAAGTATATTGTTTTGATACGCGTTATTAAATATTAGTCCTAGGTTTTATGTAGTTATTATAATTAATACTGGTTAATAGTGTCGATATGTAGATCTGGTTAAATGATCAACATCAACAAGTAGTCTAGGATATAGTTTTTCAATTAATCTAGTTAAGAGTTTGAGGCAGGTAGCTTGTGTAGGAAATATTTGGCTGTTTTGATTTGGTTTATCTCATCAATTATATTTATTGTTGCAAGAAATTATTTTAAATTTTTGAAATATGAAATCTAATATAAATTTACAGCGATAGTATTTAGTTTACTATGAAGTGAAAAAATATTTGGATATATCAAGTCTGTTCCCGCTTGTTATACATGCAGAACTGGAAAGAAAATTATGCCTCGATCAGATTTGCTGCTATCTGATCAGAAACTTCCTCCCATGGATGGCATATGTAACCATAGAAAATCATGTAAGGTTGTCTGCTGTGTGTTTGCTAACTGTCAACAATTTCTTGTGAACACTCTAGCTAGGGTTCTTATCAGAATTTTGACGATTTTTTTTCTGGTCATTTTTAACTTAAAAACTTGTGAATATAATACAGGACAAAGATTTTGATGGAATTTTTAGACTTGGTTGGGTTGGGTGAGATTGCTTTTTATTCACCCAAATTTATTATAGGATATGTTGTCCATAGATTGCCCACAATTACTTGTGATTCAGAAAAAAGTTTTCTGATTAACCCTATTGAAATAATCGAAAGAAAGAAATGTGGTTTAACGTCCACTCGACACAAACTAGGTCATTTCGGGACTAACATATGGTTTGATTTTATTTCAATAATTCGCTTGCGCATAGGGGTCTTTAGCAGTGGAGGAAACCGGAGGACCCGGAGAAAACCCATGAGGTTGGATTGGCAACCCTACTCCTTGTCACGTACAACCGGGGATTCGAAACCACGCCAGTCGACTCAATGACAAACTTTATGATACAGCGTGTGCACACTAACCATTCAGCCATCCACCCCCCACCCCCCATTGAAATAATAACAAAACTTCATCCCAAAATGACATGACACATAGCATGTTTTGAAATGAGAGTTCTTCATAATATTTTGATCTGCAACATTATGTTGATTCATAGAAATGGGTAAAATATACTGGTTATTTCAACTAGGTAGGTTAGTACCACAATTATGGTTTAAGTATTATCTGTCATTTAACTAGTGATGTTTTTTTTATTGAGTTACCACTTGAAATCTTATGTTGTAAGTTAATTGATTATTGGTTGATTTTGGTATTCAAAATTCATGAATTTACTAATTAGAGATAAAACACTCCTTTCTTGATAACTTTTTATCCTTTTCTAAAAGTATATATTGTTTAGTTAAGTTTGAAAGATTGTATATATTTATCATTGCTACCTACATCTGTTTTAGTTTTGTTTGTGTTTATATATAGTTTTATGGCTAATTTTTGCTCACTCTTTGTAAAATGTCCGATAACACTTTTCATTTATGGCTGATTGGTACTCGGTAAGGATGGTTGTCCTGCTCAAGACAGACTCAGAGTATTCTTACTTTTTAAACAACCACATCTCATTTATGGTGTGGGATGTTGGGTAATGTGTATTATAGATCTGTGTCATGGGTTTGATCCTAGTTAGTAGATCTTTATCTATCTATACTAATATTTGTGACTGTCGTTTGTCTGTCTGTCTGTCTGTTCGGGGTTGGCGGCTACACTAGGTCTGCCCCGAGTTTGAAATTTGCGTTATAGGGGTAGCTCGGACCGGGGAGTAACATAGGCCAGGTGGCGTTAGTCTACCACTTCCGGTTTCGGGGTTATGACCCCCGAGCGAAGCCGGGCATTCTTCTAGTATAATATATTGGTGTTAGTTTTATTTGGTTTTACTCTTATATAACTCCTACTCAATCTCGATACATCATTTCTCATTGTTTACTGGAAGATTTATATACCACTGATCATTATATGCTTTATGTTTTACGGTAAAATTACCAGTTTTTGTCATGTTATAGATGTATTTTTATTTATTGATTTATTTCTGCTACAGCACATTCAGAGGTTGTAACTGATGATGAAGATGGATTACAACATTTCGGAACAAATGGCATCCACCAAGAAAAGAAAAGAAGAGGATTACGAAAACTGTTTGGCAAGTAAGTAGTTTTATTTGTATCTCATTTGAGCAAGATTTATCTTTTATCTTACAAATTGTGGGATTGGGTGGATTGAAAGTATTACTTTTAGAATCTTAGGTCAATCTTTGTTTCTGTTGTGGTTATGTGACATGGAGTAAGGCTAATTGCTTTCTCATGTCTCAACTGAGTCCAGCGCTCAATCTTAATTATTGACAAAAAGAATTAAAGTAGCTAAGTTTCTAATTCAGTATCATTCAACGTCTTTCACATTGAAAACACAAATTATTTGTCAATTTAACCCCTTAACTGTGTAGTATTTAAAACGTTAACTACCCCCTATTGTATAATTAATTTGACGAAAAACGTAATTTTTGGACCTTTGTATTCCTGAATACAAACTATAGTAGTCTTAAACCATATTAAAAATAACGGTAAATAGAGTTGTCTCCCTTCAATTAGATTTCCTCGACCAGACGTAGTATAACGTCATACACATGCTGCGATCGTATGTTCAAAGAATAGGTTGGGGAAAATACCTCCAGGGCGTTATATTACGTCTTACACACAGTAAGTGGCAGTTGTCCAGGACGTTATGTAACGCCCTACGCAGTTAACGGGTTAAATCAACATTGATGTTGTGATCTTGCCGGGAAAAGATGGGGATACTGATATCCAATATTTAAGACAAAATAAACATTTTTCCATTGGTACACGAATCGTGTACCATAATGCATTTCAGCGCCATTTGTAACAAGGGACAAGAAAGAACAAGGCTAGATATTCCTCAAATCATTTCAAACAATGACGCAATATTCTTATCTGGAGAGCATGCGCAATAGACTGGAATAACCAGGCCCTAGAGAACTTCACTCAATTAGAGTAAAGCGGAAACGATTGAATGTAAATCAGTTTATATACATTCAGATTACATTATTATATGCGTTGCGACCCATTTCTTGCTAATGTCTAGATCCCAAATATTAGCGATTTAGCTCCTTTAACTCATTTGTTCCAACTATCGCCAAGTGTCGGCATAATTAGCTATTGAATTCAACTGGCTTACGCCACCTGTCACTGACTTAGTGTGTAGTCAGACTCCCTCTCAACGCCTGGTGTCGGCATCTTTGATATACTGTTTTATTGATCAATAAAGTTATACTATTCAAAAAAAGTAGGGGATATTTGATTTTGGGGGCATAATACTAAAATATGCAAATGACTACGAAAAAAGTCACTATAGAACCTAACAGAAGAAACATTTCCAGTTACATGTGACGCCCAAACGCACCAATAGCTACCGCATGGAATGCAGGTGATGCTTGGGATCATCATGGGGCATTGAATTCCAGGGTGGAAACATCAGTTTAATTGTTTTAGTGACCAGAAAACAAATTTTGATATGCGTCGGCTTACCCAAAATGAAAGGTTACGTGCCCTTGGCATGCTACAGATCAGCACAACACAGGCGGTTGTGGCGCGGACGATGAATGTTTCTCAGTCTGTCATAAGCAGGCTATGGTAAAGATACTGTGATACACAATCTGTACAGGACAGACCACGCTCAGGTCGACCAAGGGCGACAACTCAAGCCCAGGATCGATTTATCCGTACCTTGGCCTTGAGAAATCGTGTCATCACAGCAAATCAGATCAGCGCTCGTCTTCAAACAGACACTGGTGTGAGAGTGAGTGGCCAGACGATTCGGAATCGACTGCATAGGGGTCACCTTCGCGCCCGACGTCCTCGCGTGATCCCTTGTTTGAGAGATCATCACATTCAGGCAAGACGTCGTTGGTGTAGGGATCGTCAACACTGGGATAATCGACGCTGGAGCAATGTGATGTTTTCAGATGAGTCAAGGTTCACTGTTGATTTTTTGGACAGACGTAGGAGGGTGTGGCGTCGTCGAAATGAGCGCTTCCAAGACGTTAACGTCATCAGACATGATCGATTTGGGGGTGGTTCTGTTATGGTGTGGGGAGGCATCACTGTTGCTGGAAGAACGGCTTTACATGTTGTTGCAGGGCGTGTTACAGGCCAGTACTACCGGGACAACATCTTGGCAGTCCATGTCGTGCCGTTCGCACGACGTCATGGCCGCCGTTTCATCTTCCAGGATGACAACGCAAGATGTCACAGGGCCAGGATCGTTACAGGTTACCTCCAACAACAGAACATCACCACATTACCTTGGCCAGCACTGAGTCCCGACCTCTCCCCCATCGAGCATGTCTGGGACATGCTTGGACAGAGGTTACGTCAACGTCAACAACGTCCTGCCAATGTCCAAGAACTTGCTGCTGCGTTGCAACAGGAATGGGACAATCTGGACCAAAATGACCTTAGACGTCTCATTAGGTGTATGCCACGTCGGATCAATGCTTGTTTGGCAAACAGAGGAGGATTTACCCGTTACTGACTTGGTTGTGATGCTGTGGTAACTTTGCTGTTTGACCCCGGGTATCATTTTACCCTTATAATGGTCAGTCTGTGCCTTACTTAGTCTAACGATCATTTGGAATAAATCGATGAATGTGAACTTCATTTCATTTTGTCATTTGTTTCTTCGTCAGTTTCATTAGGTGACTTTAATAACACTTAAAAATCAAATATCCCCTACTTTTTTTGAATAGTATATAAACAAAAGCCGTTTGACTTTCCAAAAGTTATAATCCCATAAAACAATAGTTTCAACTAATGATTGTAATCATGAAATGTACAGGTCACAACAAGGTGTTATAAGGTCATAAACTCATGAGAAAATTTTCGCATCAACGACTGTTGTCGGCTTCTTTCATGTCCTGTTCTACTGAGCAATAAAGTAATAAAAAACCTATTCCCTTTCGAGAAGGGGGATCACTTGGCTAAGTGGGTAAGGCGCTAGCTCGCTAGTCTGGAGGTCGGGTGTTCGATCCCTGCATTGGCCGAGAAAGTTCATCCAGATTTTCCGGCGTGGTTCTCCCTTGTCAGTGATGCAGGACGGAGGGCCTGACAAGGAAAGCTGTCTAGTCGTTCGGATGGGACGAAAAACGGAGGTCCCGTGTACACATTGGTGTGCACGTAAAAGATCCCTTGGCAGTTGGAATTCGATATAAGAGTAGGCCGTAGTGCCGCTGTCCGGGCAAAATTTCCCTCATAGCACACTGTATGGCGTATGCCCGTCTTCATTAGCCCAGGTTAGGAGCAGAAAAGTAGGACGTTAAACTCCATTTCATTTCATTTATTTCCTTTCGAGAAGTAATTAACCAATAAAAATATAGTTTGAACTAATGATAGAAGCCATAAAATTTACGTCACAACACAGGTTTTAGGGGTTATAAGGTCGTGAACTCGTAGAAAATTATATTTTTACGCTTAGTTTTTTATACGTCCACATTTCAATTTACGTCACAACACAGGTTTTAGGGGTTATAAGGTTGTGAACTCGTAGAAAATTATATTTTTACGCTTAGTTTTTTATACGCCCACATTGAAATGTGGACGTATATTGCCGTCGCCCCCGTCTGTCCGTCTGTCTGTCCGTCCGTCCGTCCGTCGTCCACAATTTCTTGTGAACGCTCTAACGCCAAAATTATCATCCAATTGTTTTAAAATTGATATATGTTGTTTACATTAGTGAGATGAAGAAGCCTATTTAATTTCAATAATTTCTGTTGATTATGTCTAGAGTTATGGCCCTTGTTTCACTTTATTGAACCCTGTGAACGCTCTAACGCCAAAAGTTATCATCCGATCTTTCTGAAATTTATATGCATTATTTAGATTACTGAAACGAAGAATCCTATTGAATTTCAGCAATTTCCATTTATTACGTCTAGAGTTATGGCCCTTGTTTCACTTTATTGATCCTTGTGAACGCTCTAACGTCAAAAGTTATCATCCGATCTTCTGAAATTTATTTTCATTATTTAGATTACTGAAACGAAGAAGCCTATTGAATTTCAGCAATTTCCGTTAATTACGTCTAGAGTTATGGCCCTTGTTACACTTTATTGATCCTTGTGAACGCTCTGTCAAAAGTTATCATTCGATCTTTCTGAAAATTATATGCATTATTTAAATTAGTAAGACGAAAAAGCCTATTGAATTTCAGCAATTTCCATTAATAACCTCTAGAGTTATGGCCCTTGTTTCACTTTATTGAACCTTGTGAACGCTCCAACGCCAAAAGTTATCACCCAATCTTTGTGAAATGTATATGCATTATTTAGATTAATGAAACGAAGAAGCCTATTGAATTTCAGCAATTTCCGTTTATTGCGTCTAGAGTTATGGCCCTTGTTTCACTTTATTGATCCTTGTGAACGCCAAAAGTTATCACCCGATCTTTGTGAAATTTATATGCATGATTTAGATTAGTGAAATGAAAAAGCCTATTGAATTTCAGCAATTTACAATAATTACTTGTAGAGTTATTGCCCTTGTTTCGTTTTGTTAAACCTTGTTAATGCTCGATTGATGAAAGTTATCATCCGATATGTATGAAATTTATATGCATTATTTAAATTAGTAAAACGAAAAAGCCTGTCAAATTTCAACAATTTCTGTAGATTACTTCCAGAGTTGAGACCCTTGTTTCAGTTTTTAGAACCTTGTAAACCCTCAAACGACAAAATTTATAATCTGATCTGTATGGAACTGTCTTGTAAAGGCCCCCAATTACCTACAATTACCTGCTCGGACGATTTAGCTGCTGTGGGCATATGTTTTGTTGCCTGGCAACCTATCTTTAATAATAATTTTTGTTTGGATAGCGATTCTGACTCGAAATTTGAGGGATTTTTACCAGGAGATGTAGTAGACATAGAAATCAACAATAATAGTATCCTGGACAATGAATTGACTGACAATTCGAGCTTCACCAAGGATTTTATTTGGAATAATAAACAGTATTCTGTTACATGCCCATCATTTTTAGGACCGGAGTCTGGGCCAACAGACATCTTAGAAAGTGAGAAAAACTAATAATAGTATCCTACAATTCGAGTGAGGAAGACGAAGGCCCCGAAACGGCTAAT